CCACCCCCCACCCACCCCTATGTGTTCAGCCCCCCTATTTGTTCAGCCCCTATTTGTTCAGCCCCTGTTTGCTGGAAACGACTTGTGAAGTTTACTTGATCATGGAGGTTTCACTGTACAGGATTATAATAAAATAACCCAAAACGTGTTTTACCATATGGTACATGTGAAATGTGAGGACAAGCCCTTTTACATATTTTCCTTATTAAAGCTATCCAAACTTTTCATTTACAATTGATTGCTCTTATAATTAATAACATGCGAATGTTAAATGGGCATCAGGTTGTTGTTATTGTTGTTGGCATCTACGTCATAAGCCTGTGTTTGTCTGACCACAGAAAAGTTCCCCTAACCTCAGACACACGGAAAAGCTCCCCTAACCTCAGACACACACAGACAAGTCCTTTGACGCTGCCCTGTTACATTGTCTAACCTATAGCTCCCCTAACCTCAGACACACACAGACAGGTCCTTTGACACTGCCCTGTTACATTGTCTAACCTATAGCTCCCCTAACCTCAGACACACACAGACAAGTCCTTTGCCACTGCCCTGTTACATTGAATTTAACTTGTACTGGGACTTGGGTAACAGCTAGTAAAGCATGACCCGATCAAAAGCTAATGTAATGAAGCTTGAAAACATTACACGTTCATTAGCCACAGTCTGTTAGCCTGTCCTGTCTTCCAGGCAAACAAAATGCACAACTACATTTACTTAGTCCATCTCAAAATAACTATGTTTTTATGGCACGACTGTTCATTATCACAAATTCATTTTGCCCTCGGGATATGATAATCGAAAACTAAAGACCTTCTTAAATATACCTTGAGTCTACAAGTATAGGAGGAACAATACCTACAGACACATATGGCCATACTTGATTAAGAAAATGAAAGTTTTACACTTGTACCAGGATTTTTGTGACTTTTGGCAGAGATGGTAAAATGTTTAGAGAAGTTATGTGTTTCATTGCATATTGGTGTCTCGAACCTAATGAGCCATGATCCGATTGAAGTAATGATTGAAGTGCCACATCTTTTAACGTCCCTGTAGGTATATTAGTTAAATGATTGTTATGAACTGATCTACCATAACAAGATCAGTTCATAACAATGTTAACATACACATAAAACTTGTATACATTCATGCCTGCTGTTTCCATATCTCATATTCTGATAATTTTATATAACACACCTTCTACATTAGATTCCATGTTTGATAGTTCGAGGGGTGATTGGGGTAGTTCATTGTTGATGGAATAGCTATGTTCCGACTGTATCCTTGGTGACGGAACAGCCTCCGTGATCATTTTGTCGTTGAGGACGGGGTCTTCAAACAAACTGTTTAACCAATCGTCCATATAGCCGCCTTCTGTGCTCTGAAGAAAACAAAATAAAGCTATCCGATTAGAAACAGGTCAAAACATACATGAGCAGGTACAAAATTTATATAATTATGTATTGTAATACATGTATCACACAAAATTTCTATTTTCACGATTATTTATCCTGCATTAAGCCATTAGGACCAAAGTGAAATCTTTGACCCTAAGTTGGGGTGGCCTTATAACAGGGCAATGAAATAATATAACTTAAGCTGGCATTTCTACTCAACTGAAATAGACACTGGCGGGCTTATTACCAGGCATGGACTTATTACCGGATCAATTAATGCACAAACTGGATTATTGATAATAATTATTAATTACAAATGTGTTAATTACCTATCTCCTTAGCAACGAAAATGACGGGATGAGATATTTTCCACCAGCAGTTGTTGCTGGTCCCATGGCAGATACATCTACCTGTACACCTATATGTGTCTTTGAAATTTTTACCAGCGTACAGATATGAGCTATCAGGTACACCTGCTTATGTGAAGGACTATGATCACATATAGGTAGTACATATATGTAATGAACACATGCACACCTGTATATATCTACCTGTACTAATTATGTATCGACCACATTGATGTACATCGGTACATTCTATATATATATATATATCTGTACTGATGTCTCTCTCTCTTACAGAATCAGCATCAATAATTGAGAACGCTCAAACATCAACACCAACAGAAGAGCAACACTTCACTTGTACAAGCGTGGATACTGTACACATAAGTTGCTAAGCCACCCCTAATGTGTTTTGGGAGGTAATAGAATCATCATCACATTATAACATATACGCAAAGTAGCAAACAATATAATTTATTCACGAAATTAGATATATGGCCGACATAATATTGACAAAGAGCGACACAAAAAAATCAAGAGTTTCAAATGGTGGCCATGTATTTTTACATTTAATTACGGACAGGTGCTTGATAGATTGTACTGACCAGGTAATCCAATTAATACTTTCTCAGGTGTAAATGAAACCCACACCCCTGCACATGCGACCTAGATAAGCCATGTGATCTCTCCCAAAGGTGTATCAAACTGATAATAAGGATTACAAAAATCCATATCTCCGATTGTAGTATACATTGACCTACATATCACTTCAATTTTCTGTTTATCAGAGAAGTACCTTGTAAACCTAGATAGTATTAAGTCTTTACTCCAGTTATCATACGCAAGTTTATAACCATATTAAGCGTTCAAACTTGCCGTCATCTATAATATGTAGAAGTGACATCTTCTACAGTTGAAATTTGGCTATCTAGAGAAAATGTTCTCTTATTAAGTAAAATGTATGCATGTTTATACAATAACTACAGCTTTGATGGGGGTTATTGTATGACGTCACTTCAAGGAAATATTTTTCTGTACGACACTAAAAACAACAATAGTCTCTTTCAGCACTTGTCTGTGTGAGTGACAATCTACAAAACTTTCCACACTCATCACACTTATAATGAGCTCACTTAGAACCCTGTAAAGACTTAAAGTTGACATGTCTACATACATAATGTAGCGACTTGCTGTCACTGTCCTAAAACCAAGTGTTGGGGATCCCTTCACCTTGACCTACACTTACACAGTAGTCCTTTTTGTAAACAACAACCATTTGAATCACTGGTTGGCTAATCTAAAAAAAAAAAGAAAATCAACCCCCCAAATCAACCAACCACTTTCGGTATTTCATTACCTTAACCTACAATCAGTTCATTATAACTGTGTGCACATAATTATAAACACATGTTGCCACTTGCTGTCACGACATATTCCTAAAATGACCTTGGAATTTAAAAAGTGCCCTGGAATACGCCAATTCAGAAAGTGTCCCCCTTGCTGTATTATTGTCAAGCTCATAGTAGCAGACACAAAAGAGCAAACAAATAACTTCATTAACATTTTTATCAGTTAAAAGCAAGAGTGGTTACGACCTGTGCATTACTGCAGCCATGATGTTATTAACGACGACAGTTAACAGACAGAATATCGCTCCCTCAGGAAAAATTCTGTTGACGTATATAAATGTACATGTGCATTTTCTATATTTCACAGTATCCTAAGTAACTTCTGAGAAGGCATTCAGAAAGTCTTGTTCAACTTTCATTGTAGAAAATTTAAAAATGTCCTGTATCACTAGGCGTTAGTCTGTATACATATGTATATAGACACATATAACTATGTATGACTTAATATATTCAAGCTCTTATTATTACACTTTACATCTCAAAATTAATTAATGTTTAGAAATTTTACTTTTACAACTTTGCCCAACTCACTTCTAGCCTATACAGGCACGCCCTGAACGACATTGTATCTACGGTAACCGTGTTTCGCTCCCCTACCTCTCAATAAACACGCCCTACCCTACGTACACACCTGATATTATCAGAGCGCTACATCACGGAGCTCACTTGACATTTCAGATTTCAATGTTACCTAAATATCCGTAAAATATAATCCACCCATCTCTCATAACAAGTTGTAATAAAACTCCCACATTCTTGGGCAAGTCACCCAGTCAAATAGCTTTGTCATTTTTGTATTATTATGACTCGGCGTAATATATATGAAGTCTGTAAATGCTTTCAAATCATCAAAAGGATCATCGTTTATTCATTATCGATGTGAAGTGCTCCTACCAGGGATATTACCATCATCAATTAATGCAGCCACTGGACAGTGAACTATTTGTAAAGGAAGCAGCCAACCAATAATTAACAGTCAAAATATCTCTCTATTCATCCTGTCATCTGTGACCTGTAATATTACTGATGCCAGGGATTCAGACTGGGGAACAGACCCAGTATATATACCTGCGACTTAATTCCCACGGGTGCAGCAGGAACAAGTCCCCCCTCCGNCCCCCCCCCCCCCCCCCCCCCCCATTGCCCCACTGCTCTGCTGTCTAGACTTACCTACCAGGAAGTCAGCAATAGGTTATATTCATTATACCACCGTTGTCTGCCAACAAGGTTTTTGCTCCCATTTCATTACTTCAAACCCAAATTTATTACAAAATTTCTAACTAAGCCTGTGTGTGGTTATATGATCTAGCTATTGTACATAATATGTTCCCAACATATATTCCGGTTTTTGACAGGATTTTATTATTTACACAGAACTCTCCCACCTCCCTGATCATTCACACTACCAGGTCAAGTGTTGTTTTAATTTGTATGGAGTTTTACGTTTAGCACCATCATGACAGTGTCACAGAACACTGCAGGGTTTACAAAAATAACAACAGGGCCATATCATGATTGGCGACATCTGCACCGATTACCCTGTTCAATATTACTGCTTTACGCCATCCTTAATGCCATAGTCATAACCAGCACAGCTTTGATCCGATCTGACAAGAGAATTTGTCTGAATTCAGTACTAGTCCAGTTGTAACGCTTGGATCCAGTGCAGTTCTGGCCATGGACAGTCCTAGCTCTCTCCCAACAAAATGGTGATAATTATACACCACTGCAAGTCATTAGCAACAACTACCAGATAATTTAGGGGATAATTAACAACTCTAAGTGGAACACTCCTAAAATTAGCATATACAGCCCTCGGAAACTACACACATGTATGTACAATATCCACATCTACATATTTGTATAGTTAAATAGGTGTCGGGATGTTCCATTTCATGGTTAAAATACACTAACCTATATATGATACCTGTAATACAAATTTGAGCTAAGGACATATAGTGCTTTGTACCATAATACCTGTGATTTGTGTAACAATTAAGGAGATACTGTGATTTAATTTGTGGAGAGTATCGAATACATGCAATTTTAAATATGATAATGTACCTGTGATCTGAGGTAAAAGTTATCTCCCTTAAGATAAGCTATCTTATACATTATACCATTGATATCTGAAGGAGTGGTACTATTTAGTATTTTTATTTAGCATCATCTTATTATAATTAACAATTACTTTGATTATCATAAATACATTATATAAATATTAAAAATCCTAATCACCGTTCCAAAATATGTTCAACAGGTGTTGAATTAGTGTAGAGCTCTTTAATTTCTTTAAAACAACACATGTACACTTACTTTAGCAGAGAAGTTCAGAAAAACAAAAATATTGCATCAGCATGATTTTTAAAAAATATTTTCAGCTGAATCAGCAAAATTCTCACATCTGATGCAATAGACTTACAACTGCTTTCACGATAAAACAGAAGTTATCAAAAAGACCTACAGTCAGAAGTGTGTCTGATATTTTAAACTACCAATACATGTTTTCCCACAGAAATCAAAGTTTTATTAAGTTTTGGCAGCCACTGGTTTTTCATTTGCGTTGCATGTCCCTGTACACAAATCCTGAACAAGAAACTAGATACGTCTCCCTTTTCTTTTGCTCCTATCTATGTAATATATTTCACTGTGTGACCGTTAAAAACCTGCCAAGGCAGTTTCAAGGAACACATGTTTTAAATAAGTGTCTGTGTAAATTTGAGAGAAACTTCCTAACAAGAAACACAACACTTCAGTTACAAGGGGAAAGTGTATATGTAACAGTATGATTCAGGACTTTTTTCAGAAATTTGACAGAAGGAATATGAAACCTGGACTGACTTGGGGGTGATCAAATGAAAGCATTAGTTATATACATTTGAAAGGAAAACTGAGATGATTGTTCCTCAGTTATCAGCCAATGTAAATTTATACAACTCGACTTGGGTCTTCTTACAAAATTAAACAGAAGATAAACGATTGTTTGAGAACAAAGCAATGCTGTGACCCCTGACCCTGACCCCAAATCCAGAGCTGGGAGATCCAGAATGATGAGGTGGTGGTTACTGACTTGTAATTCAATTGACCCCAAGGCTCAGGGGTCATTGGTCTTGGGGCTACTGCCCTTGTCTGGGAGGGGCCGACTGCTTAGCGTATCACCCAGAGGTTGTTTTCAATACACAGACCCAACTCCCCGACTCCTAATCCGAGGAGGCAGTTTTAAATTTCACC